ATATATATATATTATATATATATATATATATATATATATATATATATATATATATATATATATATATATATATATATATATGGTTATATTAATATACACATACTTTCACACACACACACACACACACATATATATATATATATATATATATATATATATATATATATATAGAATGTTAACCTTAACCTTGTCACGTTGTTTACAGCCTCTAGCATAGTAAAAATTCTTAAATGTGTAATTATTTTGTAGTCTATAGTTAAATTTCTTATATATAAAGCATCTAAATGTGAATAGATCTAACTAACCCTGAGGATATGCGTGTCCAGGAAAACTTTGAGTAGGCTTAAGGATAAGTCATTTGAAACGTTATTTTTTTTCTCTCTCTCTATATATATATATATATATATATATATATATATATATATATATATATATATATATATATGTATAATTACTTTTTATAAAAAAAAATTATAACATAAATATGTTATAAAAAATCTCTACAAAAATAATTATTTTGTCTCAACACACTCGGTGTAAAGACAGCGATGGTGTTGAAACAAACTGGCTATTTTTGTAGTGATTTTATAACGTATTTATGTTATAAATTAAAAAAAAAAATTTTTTTTCATAAAAAAGTAATTATATCTGCTCTTTGCATTGAGCACGCTTTTAAAACTAGTAATTGTTGGTTATTGGAGTTCATTCCGGATACACCAATTATATACTTGGGTATATATATATATATATATATATATATATATATATATATATATTTTTTAAGTGTTGCTTAGATGTAGCATAAGACCGAAAGTACGGGGCACCTTGCTAAAGATCGAACTCACTACTCAGTCGTAAGTGTACTCGCGAGACAAGTTTGCTAACCATAATGGTGCCATTGTCTCAATATATCGACGTATCATAGAAAATCGATCATAATGAAAGAGGTGTAAAATTGAAATAGTGAAACGCTCGCAAGGTGTATCTGGAATAATAAATCAAATAAATATTCGTAAGCGAACCCGATCAAAACATGATTCAACGTCCGGATCAAACAAGAGGGGGGCTTAGTTGACAATACCACAACCGTTTGAAAACACAAGACATAAAGAACGCATGGAAAGAGTGCAAGAATAGGAACGCACAAATCGAAGTGTATGCGCCTAACAGATAGCAGAAGAATTGAATATTAATATGGAAACCGTGCTGCGGAATCTAAGATGATTAAAAGTTTTGCGGGTTTCAGGCTAAAATCCATTACAAACACCAATCTCATTAACACCTTCTGCCTTTTTGGTAATTTCCAAAATTCAAAATAGCCCTGAAAGGACAAAGATTTCCCGTCACTCCTGCAATGCGTGATTATATTAATTGAATTTTTTTACACAAAACGAATGCCAAGAATAATTCAAGCAATAGGACCACTGCATCTCAAGATACAGAGCTTCGTAAAGGGAGATGTTAGAATTTGAAATCATCCGGTAATGACCAGGTAAAGTACTTACACATAGCCATATGAACCAAACATGTAGTCAACGACGAATTTTTTTTCGAAAATGGAAACAAAAAGGGCACTTGTACTTAAAATCTGGTGAAATTTCAATGGCCCAAAATAAGGAAATGGGGCTTGGAAAATTTGATACTAACAGGGTAGATTGAAGGCAAGATGGACAGAGGAAAGCAACGCATAACTTACGTAGCGAGCTGGTATAAATGGATGCCGGAACAAGGATTAGATAACAAAAAAAAAATAGGAAATTGTGGATGACCATGATCACCAACGGCCTGAAGGAACGCAGCACATAGAAGGAGATTTCTAGTATTAACTGTACTGGCTCATATTCTGTATTCGTCCAAATATATAGACAGATACATGCATAATCATATGTGATGTTTCCCCACTTGCTCCAGCTCTCTACCGATAAACATTTACACATGTACATATGTCAGGCTGCTTGCTAAGAAGACCATGTCTTTTGGCAGAGGGGGACTCAGTCGGGTGTCTGTCTTCACATAGAGATTCGGCTGAGAAAACCAGACCAGTAATGTACTCGACCAGCTTTTGCTGCGGCTGGGTAAATTTTGATCAGAGGCCCGCGTGGAAACGCTCGGTTTCCCCATAGTAAATTTCACTTTGCGTCGCATGTAGTCCGCAGTGGGGCGACCGGTAAATACCAGTAGTCCGACCTGCGTCAGGCCGTTCGGTGCCAGGCTGGGTGACAGACATGTCGAACTCTCTGTCTCGTCTTGGGAGGTAGACAAACCCGGCCCCATGTATGCAGGGTCTAAGGGGAATTCTGCCCTGGCATATGGGCTCGAAATCGCATTAAAATCGGCATTGTGCCACATCCGGCCTTATGGGGAGGATTGAGTAAATACCATTAGTCGTCTTGCAAATCTTCATACAAACTATACAGGCATTACCGCAATAGTCTAGGCATTACGTATAGAGAATGCTTAACGAATTACGTTATACCAAATACTAGTATATGTTATAAGTATAAGATTACAATAAGAAGTTTTAATAAGAAGTAAGGTTAGTACAAGTTGTTAGGTTAACATTAAACTGAAAACACGAGTCATATTGTGAAATAATCTCATCAGCTCAAGACGTTCATATGGATACCATGGATGATGCCAAGCTCGTTCAGAAATATCGAAATTGTTAGCTGTGACTTGAATGAGTGAAGCCTATAGATCTTGATGAAAACTACTGCTTCATGTTTCTTATCGCATATGGCCACGAACACTACTACACATTTTAACATGACCGTCTTCACAGCAGTCAGTCCAAATTCGAACTGCCCACAATCCTACATCACACGTAGCATACGTAAGCGGTGTCCCATGAAACAAGTTCCTAGGAAACATCTTTCCCTTTTAGAAAATAGACTTTTTTTTTTAATGAGAATGAGCAATAGATAAGTGATCTAGACATTCACAGGATAGTCTTTCCTCTTGCCTTACAGGGATTTTTCTGCCCCTTCACTCATCATTCTTTTTTTCTCCTTCATCTGGGGTTCTGGATATTCTCCCAGACCGCGTTTTCCTCGCTGAATCGTCCTGATGAAGTGTCTATGATGTCCTCCCGTTATCTGGATTTATAACTGCTGGAGATGTCGAATTTTCTACTTTCGATTGACTTTCTGAAGTAATGCCTAGGTAAGCGCCTTGGACTGGGTATAGCTGAATCTCCACGGATGGACTTGGTGATTACTCTGGTGTTTTCTTCACGTCTCTCCAGTTTTATTGGCGCTCTGGAATACAGTAGCCCTGAAGCTTACGTAGAAGACTAGCATGACAAACCTTGTCAAACGCCTTCGAGATATCTAGAGTCACAGCTCGAGCTTCTTAATTATTAACGAGAGCTTGATATACATACGTTTATATATATATATATAAGACACCGAGAGTGTTGATCACTTGATAAGACACCGAGAGTGTTGAAACAAAATGGCTATTTTTGTAGTGATTTTATAACATATTTATGTTATAAATCTTTTAAATAAATAATTACGTATATATATATATATATATATATATATATATATATATATATATATATATATATATATATATATATATATATTCAGTTATGGCTGTAAGCACGTCAGAGGTAGAATGGGCAAAAAAACAAACAATATTGTTTGTTAGAGAGTAGATCATGAGAGGTGAGCTGCTTAGCTTCTTCGGCGTTGTTTAAGGCCTCGAAGACTTTCCGAATATCAGTAGGAGACTGATAGGTCGGTAGTTAGAAGGGTCAGAAGTTTTCCCAGAGTTCTTAAAGACACGGACGACAGAGGAAGACTTTCAACAAGCTGGAAAGCGGAGAACTGTAAGATAATATTTGTATGGTTTGGAGAGAAATGGAGCAGCTCGGAAGCACATATCTTTAGGAAGACAGCTGGTACCTCGTCACCTTCACTTGCATTATGGGAGTCGAATTTAGACGACCGACGGGGTTATGTATATATGACTCAGTATAGCCTACGTTCTAGCGGGAAATCAGTTGTGGGCATCCCAGATGAGTCGAGTTGATAGAGAATTTTTGAGCAACGCATTCAGCCTTATTTGATGTAGATGCCAGGACTTCGAATTGATTGAATAGAGGGGGGATTGAGGAATTGCTGTTTGTTCAGCAAACTTTTGCAGAATTTGCAATAATCCCCAGAACCGAATATGCGGGATGCCATAAGTTGTTTTATTCTATCAGCAAATTGGATCTTTGCTTCCTTAAGGACACGCTTTCACGTGTTATGAGCAAGGACAAAAAGACGTCTGTTTCGCTCTAGTACAGTGAGAAGAAGTGATACCTTTGGACTATGGCGGCCAAGCAAACATGTGTGAACCAAGGAGATGAACACGGTTTTACTTAGAAATTCCAAGCTGGAATGAAAGCATCGATGTCGACTTTCGCCCAGTAGAAAACCTCATTTTCAGAAAATATAAGAGAAAATATTGTCATAATGAAGAATTTCATTTACAACAAAACATAATATAACAGCCTTCATCAATACTAGAAATAGCGATAAATATTACTAGACATGAGAAACCTATTTTCCTGAAAAAATTTTGTAAGAGGAAGATTTTATAAATTACATGCGCAGTAGTACTACTGCGCATCTAATTCTGTTCGGTTATTGGATGCCTAATATTTCCTTACAGTGAAACAGCTTATATTACAGTAACCATTACAATATGAACATAAGAGATGGGGAATTTGATTATAGAATTTATTGCGCTTAAATAGTTCTTCAGCAGCCTTTTGTAGATCCACATTTCTGTAGACTCAAGTCTTCCTTTCATCTGTGATTAAATCACCCAATTAGGTCCTGTTTTCTCTGTTTCTAACGAAAGTTGGCTCTTCAGATTATGGGAGACACTTAATCTACTGCCCCATCGGATTTCCATATCACATTTTCGCCTTTCCTCTATAACATTTCCAGGATAGTTACATTTCTGTACTTATTTCATTCTGATGTATCCAATTCGTAACTTGCTTACGATAATATCACGATGAAAAATCAGTTCTTATACGATCTCCAAAGTTAAACAACGTCGAGGCTGGTTATTACCTTGATGAGTGACCACTTGGGAATACCAGGTGTGGTAAGCTTAGATGAGCGTGTGGACTAATGCATAAAATGGATCAGAATTTGAAATTGGAGATCCGTGTTCCAGTTCCAGTCAGGTCGTTATATGCACTTACGCGCAAATACCTTTGTTAGTCCCATTCACTCAGCCACAGCTAAGCCTTGTATCAGTAAATAATTGCAATCTCCAAAAAGAGAAAATAACACCCAATAGTTGCCATTAATGTAGCTATTTAAGTATGCGTATGTGTATATGAAAGTATATACATATATGTATGAAAGCGAAATAAGATGCCGTAAATGTTTTTGCTTATTATGTAGCTTTTTAAAAATATTTTATTTTCCATAGATATTGCTACACATGTTCTGGGTCTTGTGATCTTTATCAGGCAAAGAATGGTTATTTCCACATCTTATTTAAAGGAATTCACTGTTCTTATGTTTTCTTATGTTTACCCATTGTCGATTTTTTTTTCTTGTATTTGTAGGTAAGAATATTTTTTTGATATATTGGCATAATTTCAAATTTACCTTCGTTGCATTTGTAGATGTGTTTTGACACAAAGTTTCCTGCTATCTGGTAATTTAATGTTACTTTTGTAGAGAAAATCTCTGTTTTTTAGTGCGTGTGTAAAGGGCTTGTTACATTTGTGCATTTGAGTGCGTAATTAACATATTTGTAGTTGCTTTTTAGGTTTTCTGTATTGTGAATATGTGTTTACGTGTCGGTACAAGGCAAATCAATTAGTGCTTTGAAACATGTATTGTACAACATGTACTTGGCACTATCAGACAGGTTATATATATATATATATATATATATATATATATATATATATATATATATACTCTATGTATAAGAAAAAGTGCCTAATATTAAATAACATAGCTATTTAATATATTAAAAAATATTCATAATCTATAGAAAATAAAATATAATATATATTTTAAAAAAGCCACATAATAACCAAAAACATTTACGAAACCTCTTTTGATTGCACAACTCTGAGTTTCATACGTTCTGCATTCGTCAGATACAGTTTTTGGGGTTAATACCGCTTCGGTATTATTTCTGGTTATCACGAGATATTTTTTTGTTGGGGTGGATTATTATGGTTGTTAAAATAATTAAATGAATTGTAGTTTAATTTTGGATTTGAATTTAGGCCCACATTAGCATTGTGATTGAAAATATGATTGAAAATAAGAATTATAGATTATTATTTGAAGAGACGCTGTTGTAATCAAAAGGAATGAGTAACAAAAAAAACGTTTGAAAATCAAATGGGGCAACATTATTTATTCCATGAAAATCAATAAAGTAATTAATATTATTATTAATACTTATATTAATAATAGTAAAATAAATAGGAATAGTGTAATATCAATAATAAAATATGCCGAGATAAAATAAAATTTAAAGTACTAATAAAAATAATACATATCAATGAAAACAGAATAATATAAAATAATATAAATTAAAATTGAAACATAAATATGTAAATAAATTGGTAAATAAATAAAGAAAATAAATAAAAATAATAAATGCAAATAAAATATAAAGACGTTACTAATAATAAAATTAAAGATAGAAGAAAACGACAAAAATAGAAAACAATAACAATAAATAATATAATAGAAATAATGAATTAGAAGAAAGATATATGCGTTACAGTCTAATATTAACAGTAATTTTATAGTAAAAGTAGCAAAAAGTAAAATATTAATAAAAATAAATAATATCAATACTAGAATATGTAGTCCCCGAGTCCGGCTAGACTATACCAATCTTGGTCAACGTGTTTGCACAGAAATTTGTTTTTTTGTAGGCAGGTGCTCATTAATTCACTTCTTTTGTTTAAGAGATTAGAATTGTTTTTATTTTTCAGGATTATTAATTTCTCAGAAAGACATAAATCACATCTGCTGCCTTTCCCACTGAAAGATTAAGATCTCGTTACTAGTTCCCAGGGGATAATTGCGTTTTTATTCTCACTTTTCAGTTTCCAGAAAAATTTATAGAGGGCAGTGCTGTTACTATATTTGATATTATCATTGGTGGTGGTAGAAGCACGTTTTTGGATGGTTTTCCATAGAGACCACATAAGACTTGGTTTCGTTTCATATTAAATTTCAGCTTTATACACTACCGATTTAGATATAATTTGTCGTTTAAGGAGCAGGCTTTCTTTCTTTCTCTATAGTTGGAATTATTAATTGCGGGGATGTTTCTGTTTTGAAGGTTGTTGAAGTTGTTAGAATGGAACATTTGTGCTGTGATATATACTGGTCGACGTTTTTAGCACAACTGTAGAGTTCGTAGACTCTTTTGAAGTTTTCAAGGCTGGAGAGTTAGGTCTTGGCATCTCCTGCTCAAATATGACAACAGTTCTCAATTTTTAGAATGAACTGGCTCTTCTATATGTAGAGGATATCAAGAGGAGTCAGGTACTTACTGGAGTAATACAGTGCGCTGATCCTTTTATCCTTAGCAACACATTTTATGCATAAATTCCATTTAATATCGCGTGTGTGATTGAAGTCTTTGAAGGCACGGTGCTTCCCGAGAAGACGTTCGTTCATCTTGATTAGTAGTAGTTCGCGGTCATATCGGCGATAATGGAACGTAACTAGCTTCAGCTTCGAGGCTCTTTGGACAATTGTGCTCATCTTTGTTGTTCTTGTTCTTCAGATGTAACCTACAAGGAATTATGAACTGAACCCTTTATTCAATCTACAGTGGTAAACTGTTCTCGTTTCTCTTCACATGTCTAGTGATATCTAGTTCTTATTTATAGTACTGATCACTTATCATTTACTAGTTTCCATTGAGCCTAATTATATACTGGCCGAATTAGGGATTGAACTCATAATCCCTATGTCATCAAATACACAAACCAACATTTGAATCCATTAAGCTGCTGTTTGTATATTCACTCTAGTGAACTTCGAGTCTTAAAACTAGCTTACCCTCTGGTGACATAGCGATTGTGAGTTCAATCCCTGGGTAAGGCTATGTGTACATGGACTCAGTGACAATGGGCGGGGAATGACTGGGCAGTAGAAAAAATACGAACTACACGATATCAATCGACACGGGCAGTGAAATGGGCATTTAAGAGAAGCATCGATTTTTTTCGATAATAAACATATTAGAGATGAACAAATCGATACTTATCGGAGTAGATACGTTAAACTTTACTACCTTTGAGTTGACTCATTTACCTGAGAAATCACAAAGACTATAAATAGCTACGTCGACTACCCATGAGGCAGTTGTGTGCATACTACTTTCCAGTAACACTACACTACAATGGCGACGCCGGTATCAAAAGAACTGGAACTGGAGGAACAAATATTCCATGATAATTATGAGTAGGCACAAGCTTAGGATTCTAGCAGCTAAAGCTAGAACAAAAATGCTGAAAGATTTAAAATAAATTGAGGGAGAAAACCAGACAACTGATCTCTTCTTGGCAACTGTTTCTTGTGAGTATTATAAAATTATCAGCCATTTGACGATATAAGTCAACTAATAATGGAGATCAATGTAGATGAACTATCGTTGGAGGAAGACTACTATGAAAAAAGAAAATAAATCACGGTCTCCCATATCTAAACAATCTCTTAGAGAGAGGGAGGAAGGTATTGAGATGACAAAAGCTCCCAGAAAAAGTACCAGGATAAAATAAGGGGATAATATGTCTTCGGTGCATGGAGATGGGGTGATAATTTACATAGGAAGTGGGAAATACTATTAATAGATACGGCTATTAAACATGAGCAGATGATTGCATTCAACTTCCCGTGAGTCAGTATCCATATACTACAATCTAATAAGGTGTTGTAATGGAATGTCCCACACTCCCTATCGCCTATGTAGACTGATTATATCAGTAGTTATATATAGTGAGCACAGTATATACCTGGAGTTTGCTTCGCTAATTAGTTGGAGATACGTCTTCAGCTGTGTTGGTCAAACTCTCTGCTATCGAGCAGATAGGAACCCAGAATAGGCTTTGCCGAAGGACGGAGTCTCGTCTGAGGTGGCAGACAGCTACCGACTCCGTGCATACTGGGTCTATGGGTAATTTTTATCTCGCATTAAAAATACGGCCCTGTGCCACATCTTGTCTCGCGTGGAGGTTGGTAAATAACTTTGCTCCGGGAATTACTAGCCTGCCACCCGATTCCCTGTCTTTCAGTAGGGTATTCTTTTTACAATAAAACTCTCTTTCTTTCATCTACGCACGTGTTGCTATTACTGGACTCGAATGCCACCTTTGTCTGTTTGTAACCTCTTTAAGGATACAACATAAGGTTACGTTGAATGTTAAATGTAATGCGTCGTCTTTCAAATCATTTTTAGACTCAATGTGCTTGGATCTGCGTGAATATATAATTATATAAGTTGCATTTACACTGAGGGTTTGCATAAATCTCTTTCTGTCTTTGTAAGCGGGACACAACAAGCTCTTTCTAAAATCGCCTCAAACCAAATGGATTGCATTTTTCGCCTTTTTCTAATTCAATCTCGTGTTCGTATTTATCGCAATTACTGGATATAAATCAGCTTTTTTCAAAGGTTTATTCCAATTACAATCGAGAAAACTTCAATCCTTGAACAGTACGACATTATTGCTTGATCAGACCTTAGTTCATTTACGCATTTGTTATGTTTGTTTGTCGCTTGGGGAAGACAAACTCCTAATAAGATGGCTAACGCCTCTTATTGATGTGTTGTAAATTGGCGCGATCTAATTTAATTTAATATTTCATCAAATGCCTAATATTTTTTCTATTTTTTTTACATGTATCTAGAGACATTGCTGGAACTCTAATTAACTGTTCTGACCAAATGTGCGAACAGATACCGAAATAGGGTCAGTATTATTTCCTATGAAGATATAATACACGTCCCTTCGAAATTATATTTCGTTACTGCTTAAAACAAAGAGTAAATATACAATAAAAAATTACTGTATAGAATATGAATTCTGAGAAAAGATGTGTGATGTGCT